ACAATGAAAACAACAAAATAAAATACAGCATAAAACATGCTCAGGTAGGAATTCATCTCCAGTTGAGAACAGCAGGTATTGGTTGCCCTTCCTGTTCTTCACATCTTTATTCCTGGAAAGGGACCAGACTGAGCAGCTGGGGGCTTCTAAGGACCCAGGAATTGGGAAGTCCCTTGGAAAGGACTGGGCCATCTGTGTTGGGCTGATGGATATACCAGCTCAGTGGGTCTTTACCTCATCAAGAGCTTTACAACTAACCCATTTTTCTGTCCCCCCACTACTGTTAATCACTCAGTTTGACAAAGCTTTTTGGAATAGCATGGTGGAGCAATCTTCTAGAAGATAGAGGTCTGGCACTGGAGAGGTGTTTCAGTGGTTAAGAGCACTGGCTGCTCTTCCAGAGGACCTGAGGTCAATTCTCAGTAACCCCATGGTTGCTCACTACCATCTGTCAAGATCTGGTGCCCTCTTCTGTTCTGTAGACATACTTGCAGGCAGAACACTGCATACATAGAAATAAATCTTTAAAAAGGTAGGGGTCTTCACACAGGGGCCATTCTGAAGTACAGAGCTGCCTCACTGCAGTGTGTATCAGGCATGGGCAGCAGTGGGAGTCCGGCTGCACAAGGCTCCTTGCTCTCAGCAGCAAACACTCGTGAGGTGTGCCACTGGTAGTCATTGTAATGAGCCAGAGCTCTGATGATGCTCCCACCATTCCAGACTAGGTGTTTGCCTTTCCCCTTTTGCAGCTGGTTCTTAATACATTAATGTCTCCACTGTTCTTCCTTCATGCCTGCTCTTCATCTTCCTCAGGCCTCTTTGAGCAGCGAGTGGAACAGTATCTAGAAGAGCTCCCCGACACTGAGCAGAGCGGGATGAACAAGTTTCTCCGGGGCTTGGGTAAGTTACTTGCTACTGATGGAAATAGCCAGGGAAGCTGTCCTCTAAAACACTGTCAATCTATGCCAACTAGCAGAGCAAGAAGATACTGTGAAGTTCCTACCTACTGCTTTAAGAGCATTTAGCACAAGATATATGAAAAGGAGCCAGATTCACCCATTAATTTTTTTTTTTTTTAAATACATTCCTTTTTATTCACACGTGAGCCATCTTTGTTCTTGTAATATCCTGAAGTTTCAATGCCAGAATGCCAGTCCTGTAAAGCCCCAGCCCTTCAGGGAGCTCAGCCATTGTGACCTCCCAAACCACAGCATATTTTTAAAAAAGGAAACCAAAGCCAGAGAGATGTAGGTTTTACCCAGTCTCACACACAGGTGCTGATCTCAGTGTCCTAAGTTCTCCCTACCTTAGAGTTGTCATTCTAATCTGTCCAATTAGTCTTTTTGGAAGGGAAGGAGGGAAGCAAAAAGGCATAGAGGTTGGAAAGGGTGTCATGAAGCATCTTCACCTTTGCCCTCTCTGGCCCACAGGCAACAAGATGAAATTTCTCCACAAGAAGAATTAAATGCTTTTCCCAGTAGCAAAGTCTAGTGCTTTGCAGAGCCTGGGCAGAGGGCCTCTTCTGGGACCCTGTGGGGCTACTGTGGCCACTCTACCCCTAGAGACCCCACCTCCAAGCCAGTCCACCTCTGCTTTCACCATATCCCAGGATGCTGTTTGTAAATAATCTGCTGTAAGCTTTCTTAACTGTAACAAGTAAAGAGAATCTGGTAAATATTTGTATATTCCCTAAGGGCCGGGTGCTTTCCTGCCTTGCCTGAGCATGGATGGAGTCTTGCTGGGTGCTGGTGACTGGCCAATTATGTGCAGCTGACTGTCTCAGCCAAACCACTGATGTTTCCTGAAGGCTTCTGGCCTGCCTGCCTGAGGCCCCTGCTGCCAGTCTCAGGCCCTGGAGAGCAGGTGCTGTCTTTAATTATGTACAAGAGGACTTAAAAATAAAATCCTAGAGTTTCTTTTTTAATAGTTCCCTATCCCCCAAGCCTGTTTCTGAAAGGCAAGGACCACTCTGCCTACTTTACATAGAGCCAGTTACTTGGGCCTGGTCCTCTCGATTCTTCCACCCTCTGACATGGCCAGTAAGTCATGAGAAACGAAGCTCAGTTAAGTCAGTGGTGGCCATGATGCGGTACAGGACATTCCTCCTTCCACCATCCACAGATGTTCTCAATAAACTGTACATTTATTTGTGCCCGAATCCGTGTTTTTCTGGCTTCATTAATCTAGAGTTCCCTCCAAAGCAGGTTAAATTTGAATGAAACACTATCATACAGGGAGTTGGGCATTTGGTAAAGTGGTTAATTTATTTGGATTGCTAGCCATCCCTGAACTTAAGTTCTCAAAGCAGAAGACAGCAGAGTTCTCCTTCAGCTTCCTTCTCTGGTAGCCTACTGCTCACTTGGGTATTTCTGGTGATGGAAAGAATGTTCTTTGCCATTGGGCATCAAAATTAAATGGCATTACTGGTATCAGTGTACCGCAGCCCAAGTACTGCTAACACTGGGCTTGGACTCAACTCTCTCCCACTGCCAATGACCCCCCTATAAAGTTTCTTCCATTAGAATCCTAAGTATGCATCCATTAAGTTCAGCTACATTCTAGGTAAGAGAATGTTAACTGTAACATTCCCTATCCTTGCACCCTAACCACTTAAATAAGACAATCCCATACTGGGTTTCTTCCCTTCCTCACCCTCTTTTTCAGTGATGCCTGTGTGGGACCCAGCCTATCCATAGGTATTACCTGTTACTTAGAAATATGTAGGGTTTGTTTTCTGGGAAGGCAAAAATCTGAAAATGCCTCCTACATAGTTGGCTTTGTCAAGACTAATGGGGAAAAGACTGGCCACAGTGAGAATAATCAGAAAATTCAGATTTGGGTGTTGTCACATCCAGCTCTCAGCAGTTAGCTCAGCCTGAGCTTCCTGACAAAAGTAGACTCCAGCTCCCCAATGATGCTTTAGCTGTCTGTTCCCACTCCCATTTCCTCCCTTTGATGTGTGCCCCCAAACATAAATAATCAGATTGCAAACTGAAGGTGTAAACTTGAGGGCTGGAACCATGCATGACTCATCAGTTGAAGGGCACATTATCAGCAGACCAAGGTTCATATCCCAGCATCCACATGGTGGCTCACAAAGGATCTGTAACCCTAGCTCTAGAGGATCCAGTGGCCTTCTGGCCTCCAAACATACACACGAGCAAAACACCCATTAAGCATAATCCTAGAGCTGAAATGATAATTAAGAAAACCCCCTATTGGGGTGGGCTGTGCAAGCCTGATGTGGGGCTGGCCAAACATACTGAAATCTTTCCTGGTTCTGCTTTCACACACAATCTGGACTCCCTAATTCAAGGATTCTCAATCCTATCAGTCTATCCAAGCCAATTTTTTTTTTACTGTCCTGGCAAGAAACTCACAGCTAACATGACCTACTGTAAAAGTGTTTTGGTTCTAAATACCTGCTCAAACATGTACACTAGGAGAAAACAAAGCCACATATATAAACCTATACATAAAATTACTGTGAAATGAGGCTACATAAACCAATCTTGTCAGATTCTACTGAATAGTTAATTGTCAGAGGGTCTTGAACCAGTAGATGAAACTGAAGCCTGACTTGTCAAGGCTGGCTGGTCAATCAGCCCAACGGTCTAATCCTGTGCCTACCTCCCCAGTGCTGGTATTATAGCCATATACCACACCTGGCTTTTTACATGCATGACAAACTTGTTCATTTCACAACCCTTAATCATAACCACACACCAATGTGTACATCCACCTGTACTGGCTTAAGGCTCTTGGCTAGCCAGGCATGCTGCCATACACCCGTGTCACATCCTTAGGTACCTTAAGACTTTAAAGACCAGCCAGATCAAGTGGGGTCAGGGAGAGGCACTTTGCTGCTAAATCATTGATAAGATTTTCCCTGTAAGTTACCCCCTTTCCAACTTACATCTTAATATATAGTATGCACTTGGTTACTGAAGCAGCTGGGTACCAAGCATGCAATATCCTTTACTCACTAACTCTAAATTCTTTTGCTGGTGGTTTAGCATTAAGGTAATGACAGTTTTATTTTTTAAAGTCCAAGTTACTCTGAACATAAGCTTTCTTCTCCTTTGGATAGTGCAGACTTTTGTCGTGCAGCACAGCAAGCTCTGCCTTCTTCAGGTGGGAGGCTAAAAGGGTAGAAGTGCTACAGTGGTTCAGAGATGAGGCCTGAGCTCTGGGTCTACCCTCTGTGGAAGGTACACCAACTCCAGCCTCCATGTCTTACATAAAAAGATGTCTACAGTTCTTGGATCAGTACCCAATAGGAAAGTACATTAATTTGGTCAGTTCTGACAAGCCTTTTACAAACTACACTGCAAGCATTTCCATAAACTGCAGTTAGATTTGGATGAAATCAATTTATATATGTAAGAGCATACCCAAACTTAGAGCTCTGTGTCAACTTCAGGGTAAGAGCTATATCCTCTGCATGCATCCCAGTATGGAGAGCAGCACCAAGTGTCCCAGTATAACAAGGCCAAAAAAAGCTCAGGCTAAGCTAAATTCTTCACACTTTTTTTTTTTGCCACGAGCACCTTTATGTCTGATCACCATTCCATAAAAATCAAGACCATACTCCCAACTTCATGCTTAGGACAGGTATTATCCTGTGAACAGTCTAACTTCCACACTAAACTGAAGCCAGTCACTAAAAGCTAAAATATCTGCTTGTAATTATGCCCCCCCTAGATACCATTGAGACTGGAGCCCAGCCTGTCCAGTTAGCACCACTCTCAACTCTAATCAAGTTCCATGCCATTCGCTTGTTTTTTTTTTTGAGACTTGGAGTGTGCACCACCAACACCTGGCTTCCAACTGCCACTGCCTCCTGAGTGTTGAGATCAAGGAATCTTAACTTTTGATACATTTTTTTTGTCTGAAAGTAATGGTGTTATCAATTTTTTGATTAACAAGAAACAGCATATATGGGCACACGTGAATTTACAACTGCTGGAATGTAACTAAAGAACCTACACTCAGATCACTTGGAAAATGTTAGCATTTAATTAACCTCCCTGGGTGGTTCAAGCCACCAGGACACAGGCACCTCCAACACCCTTTATCTTCTCTTCAGCTCTTCTGCTGAAAAATTTGGCTTTCACGATGACAGGTTGTTTAGGGAGCTTCCCCTTCCCCAGAACTTTGTAGTAGCCCTAGACAAAGAAAAAAGTTCTTAATACAATATAGCTGACACTCAACAACACCCCAAGATTCAGGTAGGATTTGTTCCCCATTTGAAATAGTCTCACTATGTAACTTTGGCTGGCCTGGAACTCAAGTGAGGACCAATATGGCCTCATAGAGATCCACTAAAACATTTCCATAGTGCTGTGATCAAAGTATGCATTACTATGTGTGGCCTCTGATAGGACATGTTTCTGATCTGGGCACTAACAGGGACACTGAAGGCCCCTACCAGTGAATCAAGACCAGCAGATTATCTTCGAGAACTCTAGCACACCATGACAAGCACCATGTCAGGATGTGACTCTAGTCTCGGCTAAATACAGATCACCAAATAGGCTGGGAATGGAATTATGGCTACCTGCCCGTGGTTTGGGTCTCTGCACTCATGCAGTAATGGAGGGGAGAGCCCCCTCTGAATCAAAATACAGCTCAAGTTATAAAACCAAGACAGCACAACCATAGGGAAACTTTATTTACTGAACAGCTCACTCTTTTTTAAGCCAATACTTGATAAAATGTTCTCTGAACCTCACTCCACACGTGGGGAACAAAAGGAATGGGTAAAAGTTCTCTCTCAGACAAATTCAATTACCTGCAACAATTCTATTAAAATGTGGACTCTTCACTGGCAGTGGCCAAACACATAGGTTTGGATTCAAAGAAAAAAATGCAGACATTACAAGTTCCACTAAGGATATAACAAACCAGTCCACTCACCGATCGCACAACATCAATGATGGGAGCAGCTCCAGTCTTGTTCTTGGCAGCATTGACCCTAGTCTGTTCACTGACCAGTGTCCACAACTTATCCAGGTTGACTGTTGGGCAGAAGCTCTGGTTCCTCTTTAAGTGGTAATGCCTCATACCAACTTTCCCAAAGTAACCTGGATGGCTGGGAACAGAAAACCATTTTCAGACTGATCTTTGCAGTTACCTCTTCTTAGTCCAGTGTGTAGGTTCACCCTTGTAAACTTTGACACAGCAGACACCCGACACAAAGTTTAACCAAATCTGTAAAGTCAGGTCACTCACTAGTGTCCTCCTTTAAAGAGCTTCCTTAAATGTCACCCCCTAACAGCTGGATAAAACCTAACTCCGAATCTGATGCATGGCATGTCACTAACCTGGTGACTGACTGTGCCAGACAGTCCACAGCCAGTGAATAAGGTCAGCAGTTACTCTTCGAGGACTCTAGCACACTAAGGCAACAACCAATACCTAAGCGTGACTCTAGCCTCGGACAAGTTCTCTCTCTCAATTGCTTACTAAAGGTAGCAGTGCCCAACGTTAAACCAGTTTCCGGACAGTAGCTGTTCTAGGTTATTCCTTCTTCCCTCGCCTCCAAAGGCAACCCCTGTCAGTTAAAACCGACCTCCAAGGAACACTCACTATTTGTCGAAGTTGATCCTGTGGTGATGCATGCCTCCAGCATTCCCGCGGCCTCCTGGGTGCTTGCGGTGTTTACCTGCAGGCATGCAAAGCTACATCGCTATCAGCCTTCTCTAGATGCACACATGTCCCTGCCTTTTCTCAGTCTACAATCCATTTCTTAAGCATGACCATTAAAGTCTCAGGGATTAAATATAAACCTTTTAGGCCTTCCACACCACAACGATGTGGTTACGTCTCACTCCACTACCAACATAAAATCATCTTAAACTGAACAAGAGGATCTTCAAACAGAGAAATTGCTGTTCAATCTGACTGGCGACTCACTGCTAAACTGTTTATGCCGAAAAGGCCCAAACATGGGCCTACCAAAAGAGGAGGTCCACACTTACCAATGCGACCGTGGCCATGGCTCACGTGGCCCCGGAGTTTCCGGGTCTTCCTCAGTCTGGATGGCTGTATGGGGAAGCAGCGAACAGATTAGGCTCATGGGAAGTGAGGGATGAGCAACGCTTGCTGTCTGAAATATGCCTGCAATCAAGGACTTGCCTTCTGGAGCACTCAGCAAGGCTGAGTTTACCGCCTGGGACGGCGCCCGGATGCCGCCCCGCGTGTCTTAGCGATCCGAACCCCGGCCGCATCACGCAGCCCCAGCCTCCTCGCCCCAGACCCACGCGTGCCATCCCGCCCCGCAGACTAGGCGCAGCCACGAAAACGCGCTAAGATCTGGGCAAGCAGCTGAGAGATAGGGAGGGAGACCTCAGAACGACCGCGAGGAAGCGGAGGCCAAGGAAGAAAGACCTACCATGGCGGCGGCAGAAAGGAAAGAGGGAGGAGCACGCAAAGTCTCGCGAGGTAGCAGGCGTGAGGGCGGGACCAATGCGTCATTTCCGGCCAGGAGGCTGGTCTTGGGCGGGGTTTCTGACGTCACCGGCGCCCGCAGCCGCTTCCTTTCCGTATAGGAGGGCGGAGTGTCCTGGTGGCGCCAATCTACGCGACCTCGGAGCTAATTTTGCGAGCCACGCAGCTGCGGTTCAGCATGGCGTGTCCAGACTACCCTGCTCTGTTCCAGTTTTGTTGATGGCTGACTCCTGGCCACAATGAAGCCGCTTCAAGGCCTCGGACTCCCCATGCTTGGACACTGCCCTTCTATTTGGCTCTTGTCCTGTCTTTATGGTCGTCCTGTCAAATTTGAACAAACTGCTGTGCTTCAGGGGGTCTAGATTTTGTAAATATTTTGTATAAACATCACTTTAAGTTTTCTTCGTAGCCTGGCTGGAATGCTGGACCCCAGGTTCCCAGTCCAGTCAGCTCCTGATGCAAGCAGTTCCAGTGTGGCCCTTGTTGGACCTGTTTGTGTACTTGAACCACCACAAAATCTTGCATGTAACTCGCTTAGTTACCAAGTTACATTTGTCTTCCCAGTTGAACCCAAATCCTCTCAGGATTTAAGGACTGGCCGTTTTGTTTTTCCTCTTTAAATCCATGAGTTCCTGGCGTGTAGTATGGGTTTTTTGTTGTTGCTGTTGTTTTGTTTTGTTTGAGACAGTGTTTCTCTATGTAGCTTTGGAGCCTGTTCTGGCACTCACGCTGTAGCCCAGGATGGTCTCGAACTCACAAAGATCCACCTGCCTCTGTCTCCGGAGTGCTGGGATTAAAGGTGTGTGCCACCACCGCCTGGCTAAACGTGTAGTATGTTTATTAAGAATTAAAAACTGCCCCAACTGCTCTGTGTGGGCACAAGATCTAAATCCGCTAATTTTTTGTCTTGATCTGTTAAACTAGAGAATATTATAGCCAAGTACCCTAGATTCTTATCTCTCGTTGGACCCTTTCCTTTTTCTGCAGCCAAGCTCCCCCAAAGCAGAGCATATCATGGAAATTCTAGTGTGTTTTTATTGTTATTGTTGGTTTGTTTGAGTTTGTTTGTTTTTTGAGACAGGGTTTCACTGTGTAGCCCTCTAGCTGCCCTGAAATTCACTTTGTAAACCAGGCTGTCCTCAACCTCAAGAGAGACAGGCCTGCCTCTGCCTCCCAAGTGCTGGCTTTAAAGGCACATGCAGCCACCACCTGGCTCTTGTTCAGTGTTTAATCCATTACAATTTGGCAGTTTGACTTTAGCTACACCATTTCCTCAAGATTAATCTTTATTTGCTTGTTTTGAGACAGGATCATACTCTGTAGACAAGGCTAGACTGATTGGGCCTCCAGACTGTTGGAATTCCACTCTTGTGGAATAGGCGTGATAATCTACAACTTTCTCACTGGGACTATAATAGCACATCTATTGTTGTCCTTGTTCGGCTCCTGTTTAGGTAGTTATATTGGTGAGACTTTATGAGTGTAGCAGCTGACATTCCTGGGAGACAATCTCACAGCAAGGCCTCTGCTCTCTGGCTCTTACAATCTTTCTGTCCCTCTTCTGCAATGGTCCCTGAGCTGCAGATGTAGCAGTTGTTTTGTAGATGAGTCCAGTGAGACTGGACTCCACAACTCTGCATTTTGCTTGGTTGTGGTTTTTCTGTATCAGTCTCTCTTTGCCTGTTGCAAAGAGAAGTTTCCTTGATGAAGGATGAGGGCTGTTATCTGTGAGTATAAGGACAAATATTTGGAACTACCCATGTCTTCACTAGCCTTAGGGAGCTAGTTTTCCAGTACCCGTCATGATTTCCCTAAACTTAAACTTTTTATCTTCCTGTTTCAGCCTCCCATATTCTGACACTTTAAGCATGCACCATCATGACCAATTCTTCCTGAGTTCCTAAGAACTACCTTAATAGTCTGTTACATACAATAGCACTCCAGACCACGATGGTATTAGCCCAAACATCTTCAGAGTGCTTTGGAATTTACAAAGTGTATTGGCCTGAGGATTCAGGACTGCTAGCATCATTTTATGCATGAGAAAAAAAGAAAAAAAAAAAAGAGTTATGTGATTTATCAGAGGTTATGTAGTTGGTAAGATACAGAGCCTGGGCTTTAAACTTACCCTTCTCTCTCTAGTTCCCCTGTTTTTTGTTTTTTGTTTTCTTTACCTCAGTGACCACTCCCTTTCTGACCTCACAACATCATGATCTTCATCTCTCCTTCGTCTCACAGGCATTAGTCATATACTGCCTGTGCCCAGCAGAAAGAGGGGTTTGAGAATAGGGATCAAGATCTAAGAAGAGACCTTCCACTGTCTGATAAGTGTGCAAGTGATGAGCCAAATTAGTTAGAAACTACCATTGGGAAGATGACCTGTCAATGGAGGTAAGCTGGGAAGAGCCCTGGGAATGGAAAGTAACATCAAGTGAACTTTAATGACCCCTGGATCAAGGCTCAAATCAGGGCAAAGGGCGGAGAACAATTTCTGTTCTGAATAGTCCGCCATGTTTTTTGGTTATAGAGTAGTTGCATCCTCTCTTTGGGACACCTGGCTGACAGAACACCTCCTTGAGTGAGTCTAGGACTCACTGTTGGCTTTGGTACTCACCTAATAGTAGTAGTAATAGTTTGATCTCTAGAATGGAGTATTTGGGGGATTTGTCCAGCTGTGGTTTTCTAGGCAGCTCCCTTTCTTCCTCTCACAGTAACCAGTTGACTCAGGCTCTTTTTTGTGCTTGTTCGGCAAAATCAGCTGCTTCAGGTTTTCCACCTCTGACAAAACAGAAATGTCTCAGTTCTGTATCTGCAAAGTTGAATAGCAGCCAGGTGTTAAGACATTAGGTCACCTCTCCCTCCCCATGGGGCAGATGGGCCATGACCTTGATCATGACCCATGGGAATTATCTTTGGTGACCATTCTATGAAGTATAGCCCAGCCTTGTGACATCACAGGCATCCGAGCTACTTCAGAGGGTTGGGGCTCAGAAAAATGCTTGTGAAATGAAGCAAAGGGAGATGACACCAGACAATAGCCACCTAGTGAGACAGGTAAATCTCAGACCTTGCTCCACATGGTCTTGGGAACACATTGTTATCTGAAAGCATGCTCTGGTAGCCTCTTTCCCTTTGTCACCTCTCTGGGCTTCTGGTTTTGCTTTGTATTTCAAATAGCAGTTATTCTTGAAAGTATGAACACTTCACATCTGTTGTCTTCTCCTTCCTTCTTTTGTTAGATCTTTTTATTTATGTGTATATATGTATGTTTGTCTGTGTGAGTGTATGATACGTGTACAGGTACCAGCTAAGGCCAAATGAAGACACTGGATCCCCTGGACCTGGAGTTTTAGGTGATTGTGAGCCACCCATTGAGGGCACTGGCAACTGAACTTGGGTCCTCTGGAAGAGCAGCCAGTTCTTGTAAACACTGAGGCATCTCTCCAACCCCAAGCCTTGTCTTGTTCTTCATCTTTAATTGGAAAGACTACTGGCCTGGCATGTAACACAGGGGAGGCAAACACATGTGGATCAGAGCCAGTCAAGGCTACATTATGAGACCAGTGGGGGGGGGGACTCGACTCCACAGACACTATTAACTCAAAGTAAGACGAGCCAGAGTCTGTTCCTTTTTTTTTTTTTTTTTTCAATGTGAGAAGAATAGAAAAACTTGGAAGTTCAGGTTTATTCTATAAGGAATTTTTAAATGTATATTTAACAGGAAAAATACATTAAAAGGAATTCTAAAAAAAAAAAAAAAAAAAAAAAAAAGGTATAGACATCTCAAGTCATACTGCCTCACAAAGCTTTGTATTATTTTCAGGTCATGGTTACATGAAAACATAGCTGCTACAGAGCTGATGATCACAGTATATTCGTGTGTGTGTGTGTGTGTGTGTGTGTGTGTGTGTGTGTGTGTGTGCAGTGTGTGCATTTGTGTGGGGGTGTATACCACATACATGGAGGTCAGAGTAGTAGTTTACCTCTAGATGTCTTCCTTTGCTCTCTGCCCTATTCTCTTGAGACAAGGTCCTTTACTGGCCCTGAAGCTGCAGTATAGCAGAATATGTATTCTCTTTGTTTCTCACTCACACACTTTACCACTGACATATAAATTCTGATAGTAATTTGAACTTATTTACCCAAGCAAACAGTCTTCAATGTGATGTGAAATTTGCAACACCATCCCTTGGAAGATTAAAGACATCCAGTACCTGTTTCTCTTACCACATGTGGTAAGGTGTTAAAAGTAGGTGGCTTGTGACAAGATAGCGTTGTATGTAAAGCTTCCCCTCCTTCGACACTGTCCAGGTGAAATTGTATTTAGCTTAGGTTTCTCCATGGCTAAAAGCACAGGGCATAAGCTGAACGCTGCTGGTATATGTTGTTTGAGTCATGGTGTTTTCTTATCCTTTTAAAATGAAACTTGCTTCATCTATATATTGGATCTTTGTTGTTGTTTTAAGACAGAGCCTCACTATGTAGCTCTGGTTGGCCTGGAACTTTCTGTATAGACCAGGCTGCCTTGAAATGAAAGGTTTGCACCACTACCCCTGCACTGTGTTCTCCAGCTTATGCTACTGGGGAAGCAATGGGACCTTTGAAGCAGGGAGCTTCATGGGAGGCCTTTAGGTCATTAGAACTGTA